CAGGCAGATGCTCTCTGACTCCCAAGAAGTTACCCCTAATTTGTCGCCTTTTACGACGTGCTAGTAAGAGCAATGCCGCCCCTTCCCTGAAAAAAATGGGTCTCTAGAACCCAAACGGAGAGCTAGGGAAGCGATACGCCATTTCTGTAAAGGTCATTGAAGGCTACAGTCTGCAGATTCCTTGATGAGCTGCAGGTTCATTATGAAACTAAGTTGCACAGGCTTCCAACGCGATTCCTTGGGCGTGACCAGTATAGAACGCCTTGTAGCGGCATTTATCAAAACCTCACAGAATGTCGGCGAATGTTCATGTGTTGACGTTCTGGTATTGCCTTTCTTTGGGGGCTGGCCATGATACAATGAAAGGCACCACTTACAGATCAGATGGCAAGATGGTGATACTAAGACGATCAAAGAAGAAGAAGAATGAGAAGAAAAAGAAGAAGATTAAGAAGAAAAAGAAGAAGGAGAAGAAGAAGAAGAAAAATAAGAAGAAGACGAAGAAGAAAAAGAAGAAGAAAAAGAAGAAGAAGAAGAAGAAGAAGAAGAAGAAGAAGAAGAAGAAGAAGAAGAAGAAGAAGAAGAAGAAGAAGAAGAAGAAGAAGAAGAAGAAGAATAAGAATAAATAGAAGAAGAAGAAGAAGAAGAAGAAGAAGAAGAAGAAGAAGAAGAAGAAGAAGAAGAATAAGAATAAGAATAAATAGAAGAAGAAGAAGAAGAAGAAGAAGAAGAAGAAGAAGAAGAAGAAGAAGAAGAAGAAGAAGAAGAAGAAGAAGAAAAAGAAGAAGAAGAAAAAGATGAAAAAAAAAAAGAAAAAGCAAACGAAGACCAAAATCACGCTTTTTTTTTTTCATCGGCAATACGATACGCCTTTGTCACAAAGTCAGGGTCAGGGTCGAATAATTGCTTGTGATTTCTGCATCTTTATATTATATTTTTAAAAATGTTAATTTTCCGAGTTTGTTAACTACAGACTCGGAAACTACTGAACCGATTGCTTTCAAAATTTCACACAACGATGCCTTTGACTCAAGCGGCTGGCACTTTGTGTTGTGGTTTATGGCTAGGCTGCGATATCTACGCCTTTTTTTTCGGTTTTGCGGTTTACAGCTAGCCTACGACAGCGGCGACGTGATGCTCAATGGTCGTGTCACGGGTAATCTTCGTTCGCCCTTTAAGAGGGCCGTTGGCACGTTGTGTTATGGTTTACAGCTAGGCTGCAATATCTGACCTAGTAGTAGTATAGTTGTAAGCATACCATCCTTCACGCAGGTGACCGGTGTTCGATTCCCCACTGGGTGATAATTGTTCTCTTTCCCTTAAAAGGGTGGTTGCCTCGTTGTGTTGTGGTTTACAGCTAGGCTGCGATATCTGCGCCTTTCGCCCAAAGACATCCAATTTCAGTCAAGTCCCAATTAGCCTCCCCGCAACGCTTCTCGATCAAAATCTATTCGGCTATGACAGAAACTGTTAATCAAGACGGCTTACAGTCCAGTTTAGTTTGGGTGGACACGGATGCCAAGGTCAGTTAAAAATCGTTCCTTCGGAGAGGGAGAGATGACGGGTGCGGGGTATTTTTCTCCGCTATTCGTGAGTATAGTGTACTTTTTACTGTGGGTTCAATCACTGGTTACGTGATGAAGTTTTTTTTTTTCTCTGTCGGGGCAAAATTAAACTAAATAGTCCGTGGCGACAGCATGCGGCGCTAACTCCTCTTTTCTACACCGACCTTCACAGACTGTAGTGACAGTTTTTGTTGTTGTTGTTGTGATGGTGGTGGTGGTAGTGATTACAGTAGTACTGGTACTGGATGGGTGATGTGGTAGCTGTTACACTGGTGGACACGGATGCCAAGCTCAGTTTAGTTACAATATTTCGTCAGATGGTGACGTTCCCATCCTTCGCAGAGGATGATATGACTGGGGGAGGGTGAGGGGGTGGTAAGGTGGGTTAATGCCAGACACTATTACTGAGAGAGCTTAAAACATTATTTCAAAGTTCTTATTTCTCAACTATTTCTATTTTAATAATTTCGCCATGGATAATTTTTTTATCCTTTGAAGAGGGAGATATGACTGGGTCGAGGGGAGAGAGAGGAGGAGGAGGGGGGGGGGGGATATGGCAGACACTGTTAGCTGAGAGCTATTTTCTTTCCACTCCATTTCACAATTCTGGGCCACAGTGTGGCTGGGTACAGCTAGTTATTTACATAAATTTACACCATTATTAAAGAACAGTATTTGTTACCTTGTTATTGTTGTATTTCAGATTTACTTTTTTTTTAAAAATAGCTTTTTTCAAATAATCGTTGTTAGCTACTCTGGCCTTCCGAGGTATTCGAAACATTCGTCTCAAAAACTACATCTCTGTTGCTTCCAAATTCCTCTTGATTTGTTCACTGACATTCCAAGACTCGTTGCCATACAACAGAACAGGTTCTATGCAATATTTTAGCACTCTCTTTCTGACATTAAATAAGAACAACTAATTGAAAAAGATATTTTCCATTTTCTGAAATGCTGCCTTCGCTTGACCTATTCTGCTTTTAATCTCTGTCACACATTTTCCATCTGATGATATGACTGTTCCCAGATATTTAAATTGTTTGAATTGGTTAAGTCTCTTTTAACTGAGATATCACAACGTGGAGTTATCTTCTTCTTTGATATAACCCTTACTTTCCGTTTTCTTAATATTAACGGAAAGTCTTTTCTTAGCACTCTCCATCCCCACAATATCCAGCAGTTTTAAATCAGTTGCGTTTTCAGCTATCAAAACTGCATCGTCTTCATAACGCAAATTGTTTATATTGTTTCCTCAAACTCTTATTCCCGCTTTCTCTTTAATTTCCCTTTAAAATTACTTCACTATATATATAGAAAAGGTCTAAGGAGAAGACACACCCCTGTCTTACTCCTGGCTTTATCTGTTCAACAATACTTAATCTGTTTCCCACTTTAATTGCTGCTACTTGGTTCCAGTAAATATGTTTAATTATTCTGAGATCTTTCCCGTTTACATTGATGTCTTCCAACATGTTTATCATCGACTCATTTTTAAACTGTCAAATGCTTTGGTATAGTTTATAAAGCACAAATATAAGTCCTTTTGAACGTCCATTGAACTTTCTATCCGTGTTCGTAATATATATATATATCTCTTGCATTACTTGTCGATTTACCTTCCATAAAACAAAGCTGCTCTTCACTCATTTCCATTATTATTGTTTCTTCTTGTTTTTCTCATTATAATTCTAATTAGTAATTTGGTGACATGATTTATTAGGTTGATTGAAAGACATTTTTTACATTAAATTGCCCTTCCCTGGTCTTTTTGGTAACGCAATAAATACTGATTTCATCATATCACTTGGTATGTACCCGGTGTTATGAATGTCATTTATCAGTTTAATTAATATTTCTACCCAAATTCCCCCAGTACTTCTAATTCTTCTACCTAAATTTTTCACTTGCCAGGCTGGCTTTCCTTTCATCATATGTGTAATAGCATCGCTGACTTCTTCCATTAGTAAAGGCGGGACTTCTAAATTTCTACTTCTGTAAATTCTGCTCTTTCCATCATGTAACTCTCTTATGTATTAAGTCCGTCTAATTATTATATCATCTTCCTCCATTAAGATCTTCCCCGCTTTTGATTTCAGACATCCTGTGTTTACTCTTATCTTTCTTCCTGTTAGATCACTTGTGCACAGCTTGTGACAATTTTTGCATAAATTTACAACTTTATAATAACTTTTCTCCTCCTCCACCCCCCCCCCTCCTCCATCGTCTTCTGCTCCTGTTCCTCCTCAGTCGTCTCCTACTTCTTTGTTGCCGACTCCCTACTAAGAGGACCTGTTTTTTCCTAGCTCTTACTATTTGGATTTTTTATTCTAATTGTGCCTGTGAACTAGCGACGTTTTTACTATCGTTGTGATCGTTATTCCGTTAAACGTGCAGTGAAATATAACACTGAGATTTATCACCACCCAGAATACTGGCTAACAGAGAGACGTCCCGCAAGTGTCACACTATACAAACGAAACATTTGTGACTACGAGGGGACTGAGCTTTTTCAAAAGAAAGTAATGCTAGGGAAAAGAAGAGAAAGGAAAATGCTAGCAGCTGGACTCACACACTAAACTATAGGCACCCGGGCCATTCGATTCTCTAATGATACAACATAGAACAGTATACGCGCGGTATTTTCAACGGCTAGGCATGCTGGTGGATGTAATGTCCTAAATCCCTTCCCCAGCTAATAGTAGGGTACTGCTGGGGTGACAGTTTATTAACCCTCACATAATACTTCAGGTCCAAATAAACACTGGGCACTGCCACTGTTTTGAGCCGAGGCAAAAATTGTTGCTTCTGCCAGACTGTGGCCGTTGCTTTTTTGCTCCATTTGTAGACTGAAGTATATAGTTTCGCTGCCCAGCCTCTGAGTTGAGTGCATGGCGTGACACTGTGAGCTGCGGATTTCATTTGGAATGTTTTTCGACTGACCAACGTGGTGGTGTGATTTGTAGATTCAGAAAATGGCACAATTCCGGTTGTCGCAATATTGGTGGGGCCATTATTTGATTAAAATTGATCGCGTGTGCAACTGCTGATCTTTTAACGACTTCTGCTACCATCAATGATGAACTGCATTTCTAACGTCGGACTATTTGTGTTAGCACTTCGGATGGCTTCCATATACTTTTAATGCGAGTGTATGCTAGATTTGCTGAGAGAGCAGTTTTTCAGTCTTTCCACAAGGGGCTGTGATAAACATTCTGTGTGTTTTTCGTTGGCACAGGAGCGGAGCAAAGATGGGGTGACCTGTTTGCTATGAAGCTGAAATTAAAATTACCAGATTACCAGATTTGTTTAGCCAGTCAGAACAAAAGGCATTTACTTCTCTAACCCGTGAAGGTACTTGAGACTTCTGATGTTACGTCGCCCATTGCGGCACTAGATAACGGAACTTATTGTGACTTCCGCTTCCAAGAAAATCACATGATATTCAAGATGTCTGACCGCGAAGAGGACGACTCTGATTCCAGTAGACGGACTAAGTTGAATGGCTTGTCGAACCGTGATACGGAAGATGCACATGATAGGAATCTTGAAGAAACCCTGAATGCGTTTCTAGCTTCATCGTTGCTTTCTCCTGATGCTGACAGCTTGGCTGACATAAGCCAAGTTGCAGGAGGTATATTATTATATATTAATATTATTTATATATTTATTATGAATTTTATTATTAGTTTAACTTATGTTAATAATATTATTACATCATTAATAATAAATGTCATTATTGACATGAAATTTTTTATTATTTTATTACTATTATTAGTTTATTACAGTGACATTAATAATGTTAAATATATAATAAATACATGAATAATAATTAATAAAGAATAAGTATAATTTTAATATATCATTTAAAATAAATATAGATTATGGTAACGCTTGTTAAAGTTGTTATAATATTTTTTTCACTACACCCAAGCGTTTCATTAATAAAATAAGAGAATGAAAATGATGAAAAGTGTTAAAATTGATTAGATTAGTGAAGACATTTATCATTTCACCCTAGACATATCCATATATACTCCGACCTCCTCCTCAGCAGTTCCACAAGCGTACAACAACTGATCAGCATAGTTCTTTGTTGATTTTCTAAAAGGTTAGAATTAATGCATCACAGGCTAGATGTTCTAAGAGCAATTTGGTAGCGAGTGAACAGTGGTGCGGAAGCATAGACGGATCATCATGGTATGAAGAGAATGGCAGTGTGACGAGTGACCTGGGGATTAGGTCGACGATCAGCAGCCAAGAGAAAAATGAGATGGCTGTACAAACAGACTGTTATTAGTACCATTAGAATTAGAAGTCTGCACTTGCTGCTGAAGATTGGGTCGGGGCGCTTATGGGAATATCCTGAGTGCTGTGATGTCGATTCGCAATTAAACATTATACCTAAAAGTCATTTACCCATCTCAGTGAAATGTTCTGTTTAGCATCTCCAGATTGTACCTCAATACCCTTCTGGGCAGGGGTTTGTATGGAGTCAAACTTATCACAGTCATCATGTTTAATGATAGGTATCAGCACGAAAGACAGATATGAGATCTCTCTTTTCAACATCAGGGAGCCATAATAACTGCACTCGATGGAGAAGATAGAATAATAATATTAATAATAATGTTCATGTGATAAAAGCAAGCTGTGTTTATTGAAAGAACTGAGCAGTGCTAAAAAAAAAATAGTAGTAATATATAAGTTGAAACATAGAGCTCTATCCCAAAATTAATATATAAAAAAAGTGGTCCACTGTTTGCCATTTAATATTTCTTGACCCCCGTGTGGGTTCCGGGGCCCCATTGTGAGGAAAACAAGAAAAGACCCACTGCCTCCCCAAAAGCATGTCGTAAGAGTCGACTAATTGGGGAGCTTCCTTTGAAGTCGGAGTGCATCTGCTGGAGAGGCAAGGAACCAACAGTCTGTATTCAAGAGAATGAGATCTGTAAAACTGATGCACACACAACACTCAGGTTCTGTAGTAGGACTGCAGTTCAGTAGTGGACAAGCAACCAGAACCTTCCGCCAGAGTTTACAGCTGGTGAACGCGAAGAAGAAGAATATTTCTTGATTTTATAATTCCAGGTTTTTCTTTGTGCTTCTCTTCTTCTTCTTAGTCCTGTCAGTTTCTTGATTTTTTAATTTCAGCTTTTTCTTTGTACTTCTCTTCTTCTTCTTCTTAGTCGTGTCAATTTCTTGATTTTTTTTTAAATTTCAGGTTTTCTTTGTACTCCTCTTCTTCGACACCCCCCCCCGCCCCCAAGTGTTCCTTGAAGTAGTCTTTGCAGTTGAAACATGTCTCACCACATAGCAGAACCCAACTAGCTTGCCACATTTCACCACTGCCAAAAAAATGCTTCTTATGTCCTACAGATTTGTTTATTCTGTTTCTTATATATTTTTATTTTTTTGTGTTCTAAATAGCTTATTGGTAACATTAGTTTAAATCATTTATAGTTGAAAGCCTGAATTCTCCTTTCCAATGCACTGAATACCTTGCAGCCAACCTCCACTGTGGAGAAGGCACAGTTTTGTTGAATATTTTATAATTGAACAGGACTGGCCATCTGGTGCTGCAGAATCATAAGTTCAACAAATGATTCATGACAGTTACCACCCAAGTGATGTGATTGTCTATACAGATGGCTCTATGTTGAGGGGCAGACAAAGTGCATGAGGGCTTATAGCAAAAGCAAATGGACATCGCTTAGTGCAGCAAAGCCTTGCATATGAAATCACGTCTAGTTTGAGAATGGAGGTTGAGGCAGTCACTGTTGCCTTCCACTGGCTTTAGAATCAGCTGTATACACGTGCCTTGATTGTAACTGACTCACAGAGCATGTTAGAAAGGTGGCGACAGGCATGCTCCTTGCAGAATGGCAAGCGTCAATTCAGAGGTCCTGGGTAGTTAGCGTCTTTTGAATTTTTTCTCCAAGGCATGCCAGTGTGTTGAGAAATGAACAGGCAGATAGACTGACCAGCTCTGCACCACCTGGTGGTGAATGGATGTATGACAAGCTAGATATTGTGAGGGCCCTTTGGAAGTGTGTGAACAGTGAGAAGGTACAGATAGATCATTACTGTCTGAGAAGAATGGCGCTGCGAGGAGTTACTAGGGGATCTGCCAGACTCTCAACAGGGACAAAAATGAGATGGATATACAAACAGACAGTTACTGGTGCCATCGGAATTGGAACTCTTCGCTTGCTGCTGAAAGATGGGAATGGAGAGCTTATGGGAGTGTCCTGAGTGCTATGATGTCGATTCTCATTTCAACATTCAACAGTTGTGCCTTGTTCAACTTCTTTGTTTTTCTTCAACAGAATACACATCCCTGAACAACACCATAGACGAGCTCAACAGATACTTGGATAGATGGGATGAGAGGCACGAGCAGCTGAGGGCACATATCAGAGAGGCCATGAGGGCCAGCGAAGAGGAGAATGAGTATGTTGAGGAGAGTGACGACATAGGAGCTGGTCAACATCGTCAGCACGAAAGATAGTGCAAGAAAAGACAAAGAACATGCTGAGTCTAAAGAGGATGAATCTACGAAACATGAGGAGCAGTCTCAAAGTGAGAGTGATAGGAGTATATGAAGATAATTAACAGCCGAGTTAATTTTTATTATCGATGTACATATATATATTAATATATAGTCAGGTGTGTAAACGGAATATAAAATGTTATCTATGTTGACAGTGTATTTAAATAAGACTCCTACACTCCACAGTCACACCTACCAGATCCCTGATTAGATCTCTTTGTTAGAATGTTTAGGGTATTTGGGATGTGCTTTTTTTGAACTGACATCCATCACTGCTGTCATGAGTAATCAACATTTAGGATAAGAGTCTAAAGTTGAGACGATTGACTTCATTGAACCTGGTTTTTTTCCATATGACTTGATCCCTCTCCACAGAACAGTACCCATTTAGAATCTTGCAGAAGTCACACACTTGAATGTTGAAATAAGAATCAACGTCATAGCATTCGGGACACTCATAAGTGCTCTGTTCCTATTTTCAGCAGCAAGCGAAGAGTTCCTATTCTTATGGTACTAGTAACTATAAACTTCATAGCTGTAGAGACAGTCCCAGAGATCTCATTAACTCTTTCAGCCTGAAGCAACTCGCCAAGCATCTGTTGAGCTCTCTTACATTATATACAGTTAACCTTCTGACCCGCCTCCCCCTATCCAGTAATTGCGTTAACTTACTCTGTCTTACCTGTTGCTGTATATCCTTCTATAAGGAGATTGCAGTGACCCATGAAACACACCGGGAAGGCTAACCCGGTCAACAAATGCCTGCAGAAGTCAAATGTATTGCCCGAAAGGTGGGAATATTGCAGCCATGCTATAAACAGACTCCCATTACATCTTCGGATAAGTACAGAAGAAGAAGAAAATCTTACCTTTGCCAGGTGTTAGTATTTTATCAGTTTCAAACTCAAATATTTATTGGCTTAAATAATAAATGCATAGAATATAATGTGGTTAAGTAATATCTTAAATGGGATTCACAGAGTTAAACATTATTCCTATGCTTCAAATAACTAAGCTAGTAAGAGAATATTAATGAGATGGGACAAGATTTTTGTCATTTATCCCCGTGAAAGTAATGAATGATTATCCAGATTCACTGATGTAATGCATATGATTGTGTTTTTCAAAGTGGGTGATGTTTAGGCTTTGACCACATTCCTGTATGATGTACATATCTGTATTTGTGAGCTGACATCTGTGAACATCTGTGTGTGTGAGCTAACATCTGTGTGTGTGAGCTAACATCTGTGTGTGTATGAATTAACATCTGTGTGTGTGAGCTAACATCTGTATGAGTGAACTATAACATCCGTGTGTGTCAGCTAACATCTGTGTGTGTGCTTACATCCGTATGTGTCAGCTAACATCTGTATGTGTGAGCTTACATCTATATGTGTGAGCTTACATCTATATATGTCAGCTAACATCTGTATGTGTGAGCTAACATCTGTATGTGTCAACTAACATCTGTATGTGTTCTCACATCTATATATGTCAGCTAACATCTGTATGTGTGAGCTAATATCTGTGTATGTATGAATTAACATCTGTGTGTGTGAGCTAACATCTGTATGTGTGAGCTAACATATGTATGTGTGACGTAACTTATGTATGAGTGATCCAACATCTGTATGAGTGAGCTAACATCTGTGTGTGTGAGCTAACATCTGAATGTTTGAGCTAACATCTGAATGTTTGAGCTAACATCTGTGTGTATGAGCTAACATCTATACGAGAGAGCAGACAGAATGAGAGAGAAAAATATAATCAAGGCATACATATGTTCTGTTCTATATGCTTCCCTTTTTGATTCCTTTGCCCCATTGTTGTAGGGGGGGGGAGCGCTGGTAGAGAGTTAACCCATTGTGCCGCTAACAAGCATGTCATAAAAGGTGACTAATAAGAAGTGTCTCCTTCAAAGTCTGAGAGCCTCTGTCCGAGAGCCAAGGAGCCAGCTGTTTGTTGTCAAACAGACCAGATATGTAAAAAGTATGTTCATCATTTCTGTCAGACTTTTTGTTCAAATGTATTTAATTAAATTTTGTTCCATGTCTTTAGTCGTTCTTTTGCTTTCACTGGTAAATGTTACAACTGGAGTAACAATAGAATTGAAAATACGTTACTTCATTCTAAAACTATATAATTTAGAGTTCCATAATTTGTTCAGGTTTTTAAAGAAAGTAACAGTCTGCATACAGATAAACCAGATATCTGAAAAATGGATGTGCAGGCAAAACCTAAGTTCTAGAAGAAGCCTAAAATCCACAAGTAGATGAACAGCCAGAACTTTATGCCAGAGTTTACAGGTTGGTACCAAAAAGAAGAAGCAGAAGTCTTAAAGCTGTGCATACATACACCTTGTTATTTACTTGAAGCAGGAAATATGGGCACAGTTGTCTCAGAATGTCCCGACTTGCTGTTAGCCAAATCTGAATATTTGTGTCTGTTGATTTCATGAAGCCAAATAAAACAGCTTATGTGTGTCTGATTTTTTCACGAAGTAAACTGTTTTATCTTTCAGTTGAAATGTTGTAGTTCAGTTGAAAATTAACTATTAATTAAAAACACAAAAAATACCTTTTGTTGCTACCTTTATGTACCATTTTTAGGGTATTGCAGAACAGGGCAGTGCAGAATAGAGGAAATTAAATGGTATAATAGAATCACTGAACTTTGGGAGAGACCTAAACAAATTGTAGTGAATCAAGATGTGAAGCAAAGATGCTGGTGTTGTATAGAACACACATTGAGAAAACCTGAGAACAATATAACTAGAAGGGCTTTAAACTGGAACCCCCAAGGGCATGAAAAGGTGGACCAAAAATCACACAGAGAAGGGAACTAGAGAGTAATGTTAATAAGATGTGGAAGACGTGAGGTAAGCTGCATGCGATAGCAATGATAGGATGACTTCTTGTGAGTTAGTTGAGGTTGTACTTTGAGAACTAAGACGTTTGCGAGAACCCAGTGATGACTAACAATCTGCAACCATGACCAGACTGCAAGAACCTAGTGATGACTATCAATCTGCAACCATGACCAGACTGCAAGAACCAAGTGATGACTATCAATCTGCAACCATGACCAGACTGCAAGAACCCAGTGATGACTAACAATCTGCAACCATGACCAGACTGCAAGAACCCAGTGATGACTAACAATATGCAACCATGACCAGACTGCAAGAACCCAGTGATGACTATCAATCTGCAACCATGACCAGACTGCAAGAACCCAGTGATGACTAACAATCTGCAACCATGACCAGACTGCAAGAACCCAGTGATGACTAACAATCTGCAACCATGACCAGACTGCAAGAACCCAGTGATGACTAACAATCTGCAACCATGACCAGACTGCAAGAACCCAGTGATGACTAACAATCTGCAACCATGACCAGACTGCAAGAGCCCAGTGATGACTATCAATCTGCAACCATGACCAGACTGCAAGAACCCAGTGATGACTATCAATCTGCAACCATGACCAGACTGCAAGAACCCAGTGATGACTATCAATATGCAACCATGACCAGACTGCAAGAACCTAGTGATGACTAACAATATGCAACCATGACCAGACTGCAAGAACCCAGTGATGACTATCAATCTGCAACCATGACCAGACTGCAAGAACCCAGTGATGACTATCAATCTGCAACCATGACCAGACTGCGAGAACCCAGTGATGACTATCAATATGCAACCATGACCAGACTGCAAGAACCCAGTGATGACTAACAATATGCAACCATGACCAGACTGCAAGAACCCAGTGATGACTATCAATATGCAACCATGACCAGACTGCAAGAACAAGATGCTAAGGGGAGTGGGGCCAGTCAAGAGCACTATGCAGGAAGCCAAAGATGAATAAGAAACCAACACAGAACTTTTGTTGTGAGCTGCTGCTGGATTTACTAAGGAGGGGATCTGAGCACTTATGGACTGAATAGTTTCATGTGCAGTGAGGATAATCTGTCGACTAACTAACTAGTTGAAGTCATATCCTGCGGGGGGGGGGGGGGGGGGGGGGGGGGGGGTGGGGGGGGGCGGGGGGGAGGGGTGGGGGGGGGGGGGGGGGGGGGGGAGGCAAGAGCGAGATCCTTGTCAGTAAACGGAAATGAAACAGCTTTAACTGTAGCAGACTACGAGGAGGTTGAGCTGATCAGCTTTGTAACAGGACAGAGTCACCAGAGACATAGAAACTTATGAAGCTGAATATCATGGATGGTAGAAGTGAGACACTTCTCCAAGCAAACAGATAAAAGCTGCAAACTTATTAGGGCAAATGGACACACTTAAGATTTGTGAACACATGATAAAGAAATAAACTTGGTGACAACCTGTAAATTTGATAAAAAATATTGCAAGGAGAAGAAAGATGTACAGAGCTTTATTTTCTGATGATACATATATCTTTTCAGTGCTATTGTAATAGACACTTTATGGTGAGTAGCGGCACCATTTTTAGACATTTTATGTTTAGTACCTGCACCTTTTTTTAAGAAAAAAAAGGCATAGAGATACATAGATGTCTGTGATACAAAGAATAGGTTGGACAAGAACATTCTTGGTGCATAATTCTGGTGATTGACAGCTGGTTGTTTCATGCAGCAGTTGGGTTCCCCAATATAACTTGTCCTCTTAGTGTTTGCTGTCTGTAAACTCCAGCAGAATGTTTTAGTCATTCAAGCACTTCTAAACTTTGGTCTTGTTTCAAAACTTAAGTTTTCCGTGCACATCCATTTCTACAAATCTGGCTTATTTGTATGCAGACTGTTGGTTCCTCACCTCTCAGGCTAATACACTCCGACTTTGAAGGGACCCCAATATAACTGTTTTATTCAGCTGAACGCTGCTTCTGAGATTTGCTGTTATTGTATTAACATCTAAATAGTGACTCTTTGAGTCACTTGCTGTCAACCTCTATGGTGCAGTAGCAAAAGGTAATTT